GTAAAGGAAAACAGATGACCTATACAGACATGATTAATGTGGTAGTATATATAAAATGCTAGTTGCTAGTTTATCACTATTTTAAAAACCACTAGTATGCATCTACTAGATGTGTCTGGAACAATGATATCTACTAATAAAATTTCCTCTACAGATATAAGAAAAAACTGCCCTTGCACTTTTCACACCTTTGATTATCACAGCCCAAGATTAAACAAGGAGGATGCAGGAGCAAACACGATACAAGGAAACACATAGAAAATTTTTGTAACTCAGAAGTAATCTTGTATATGAGGAAAAGAGGGAAGGGAAGAGGGGAGAGAGGAAAGAAAGGGATGGGGGAAGCCATATACCTATAAAATTGTACAATGGAAAATAATATAAAATAATAAAACGAGAATATTATGAACATAAAACTGTTCAATAGGGCCAACATAGTGGTATATTGGATTAATTTTTCACCTTCAGTATCAGCATCCAACATGGACACTGGTTTTTGTCCTGGCTGCTCCACTTGATTCAGGTCTCTGTTAACGGCCTGGGAAAGCATAGAGGATGACCCAAGGCCTTGGGACCCTGTACTCAATGTGGGAGACCCAGAAGAAGCTGCTGACCCCTAGCTTCAGACTGGCTCAGCTTTGGCTGTTGAGGCCATTTGGGGAGTGAACCAGCAGATGATCTCTCACTGCCTCTCCGTCACTCTTTCAAGTAAAAAATAAATAAATCTTAAAAAAAAAAAAACCTGCTTAATAAATGTCACAACCCGGGTTAAATGACATTACTTGAAAAACATAAATTAACTAAAACCACCACAGGAGAAGACCTCAAATAATATTTATAATTACTAAAGAAATAAATTTGTAATAAAAACCAACTGACAGAAAATTCCAATAGATGAATTCATGGTTAATTTCCATCAGGTATATAGTCTCTATATAAATTCTTTCAGAAAGCAAACCTTCATTTCATTTCATTTCATTTCATGATTTTGTTACTTCCCTAAAATCAATATCACATGAAAACATTATTAGAAAATAGAATATATTCATGTATACTTATGAAAACACATATAAACAAAATGTAACCCTGCAATGAATAAAAGGATAGCACATTTTTCAGCATCTGAAAAATGAATACTTTGATCACATTAACAAATAGAAGAGAAAATCACATAATAACCTTTAAAGACACAGGAAAAAAACAGAATTTTATATTTATTCTTAATAATAAAAAAACTAAAGTAGAAGTGGAAGTAAAGTTTTTTAAGTTGATGAAAGGCTTGAAAATCCTGTTGCATTTATGACACGTCACGGCAAAAGAGCTAACAATTTGCCTCTAAGATCAGAAACCACAGAAGGATGCCTACTTTTTTGAAAACCAGAAATTTTCCTGATGCCTACTTTTTTGAAAATCAGAAATTTCAGACAAAGCTGGGGCATTAAGGCAGCAAAAAAATAAGCCACCATTACTGGAAAGGAAAAAATTAACTGCTTCTATTCACAGATGATAAAATTATATATATTAAAAATATCCTAATAAATCTACCCCCAAATTATTAGAATTAATGAACAGATATAAAAAGTTGCAGGGTACTTGGCCAATAAACTAAATGCATTCCATATGGTTGGGATGAAAATTTGGGTAATACAAATGGAAACAAAAAAAAAAGCACTGTTTACAATACTATTTAAACCCACAAAACATTCATGGAAAACACTGTTGAAAGGAATTAAAGAAAATCTTTTAAAAATTGAGAGTGGATTGGAATTGTAAAATATCAGTTCTCTAACAAACTGATGCATTTAAATAAACACAATCACAAAAAACAGCTTGTGGAGATTTTTAAGAAAATAAATTGCCATGTTTATTATAAAATTCTCATTGAAATAAAGAGAATTAATATCAAAGATCATTTGAAAAGGAAGCTCCTGGGAGCGCTCAGAGAATTTCCTGTTTGACCTTCCCTGAATTTTTCATGATTTAGGCAGATGTGGAAAAACCTTGACTTGAGGGAGGCTGTGGCTTGACTCACTTCCATTTCTTTACAAGTGAGAAGACATCTTCAACACGGTGACACCCCCATCATGTCAGATCCATGGACACACACACAAAATGTGGACAGCCCTTGGAAACAATCACATGTCTAGAGAAACACATATTTACATGTGTTTTAAGTACATGACAAAAGGTATTCCACTAAGAATGTTAGAATTATGTGACTTTTATTAAAATGTTACAATAAAGAATTAAGGGAGAGGATACGAGCACTGCTAAAGAGGAAAAAAAAAAAACCCTCCCCAAGTCAATGCCATTTCCAAGAAACATCATTTCCTTAATGTCAGCAAACATCATGCCCCCCTACACTTCTTAAAAACAAAACAAGTACATAGGAAAAGCAGCTGATTATGAAGAGAATGAGAAAGAGGAGGAAGGGCGATAACACAAAAATCTATAAGGCCAGCGGGTGTGGGCAGAATGTTACAGGAAAGGAAAGGAATTATCAATGGCTTGTGTATATTCCAGAATCTGCCAGGTAAATCTTCAGAGGGGAAAAAGAAAGGTCTTTATCACAACCTTTTTTGGGGGAAATAAAGATTTCTAGTTCTTTGAATAATGGTGCACTCTCTAGGCATCTTCTTAATCTACCAGATGAGTGGTTCTTGGATTGTAATGTTCATCAATCGTCAAATCAAAAAAAAAAAAAAAGACACATAACATTGCAGGACCATGAAGGATATCAGCATTACACCTGGTGTATGTGAAGGGAAACGTGCTATATTCGTAATACTGCTTTGCTGTAACCATTTACCAACATCACCAAGAGTTTAATACCAAATAAAGTATGAGGAGAATGTAATCTCAGGATATCAACTGAACAATAAAATACTCGTTACACTGTAGTTTCTTTCATTCTGCTGCAAACCAGTGAAATATATGGGACAGAAATAGTTAATAGTTCTTGGCTCTTTCCCTGGTCATTGCACAAACCTAGGTGAAGCCCATTTGGAACAGACTAGCCCCATCCACTAGCCCATCTCATGAGGCTCTAAACCCCAAAAACTTTCCCAGATCTTGGAAGCAATTTCCTCTCCTGTCTTGTCCTATTAAATTTTTTTATCTGTATCCATTTTGGGGCTCTAATTCCTCCTCTATATTTTCATAGAAAGAGGTGTTCTTTGAGCCTTTTTGGATTCCACAGCCTTCTATCTCTCCAGTGAAGCTGAATCCATCACCAACAGCTCTGGGCTCCATGCTGGGACATCCCTCTCCTCTCCTTTGGATGTGGGTGGGCTGCTTTAGCTATTATCTCATGGCAGAAGTGGCTGTGGGCCAGTTCTTGGTTTGAGTCCAGGTCTTAAAATCTGCTTGCTTCCAGTTCCTGTGTCTTGTAACCTCTCTAGAAGCCTTGAACTGCTCTTGAAGGCCAGAAACCCTGAAATGACTATGCTGAGGTCATTCCCAGCTGAGCTCAGCTATCCAGCCTTCCTCATCAAGGTTTCAGACATCGGATGTCTTGGACCACCCCAAGACAATCCACTAGCTGAAAAGTCCTAAGTGACTTCAGTTAGATTTGCCTGGCTGACCCTGCTCAAACTTCCAGTCCATAAAACTATGAGACAAAATAAAACAGCTTCTGCTTCAAGCCAACACACTTCAGTTTTGTTTTTGATTCAGTCACAGAAAACCAGAACATGAGTATTTTCATGACCAAGCCCCCTCATGAAAGCACGCACTCTCTCCCTCTCTTCAAGCTGTTTCTTTTGCAATAGAAAAATAAACATACTCAAACTTGCCCCAACCTTACCAAAATCTTTCAGTCCAAGTCCCAAGTTCTACATCATATACCTTCATCTTTTCTTTCCTTTCATCCCTGTGCCCACTTTTCACTTCTCATCTTTTTGCAAGGGTGCCTTCTTTCTAATACCATGTCAGTGAAATCATTTTTGTCAACATCAATGGTGTTTGGATTTTCTAAATGTGGTCTGTGATCAGTTCATAACTTACCTCTCTGTGTCCTGTGATACAAACACACATTTTTTTTTAGGAAACTTTTCTCTGCTGGTCTCAACACAGCCCCCTCTCGATTTTCTTCTTATCTACCTGGATGGCCTTTCCTTTTCCCCTAGTTCCTACTCTGCCGCTGGACTCCCCAATGTGTCCTTTTCCACTTGACTTCCCCAGGCATGCTTCTTCAGGCATCAAACATCACTTTCTATCTCCACTGCTCCAAACAGATGTGGTGTCCTGAATCTTCTAAGGATTTATTTCTAACTTTAAGCTTTCTCTAGAATCAAAGGACCAATTGCTTATTCCATTTAGATCTGGAGATGTTCAAATTCAACAAGAAAAAAAAAGGAATAAAAGAATGCTTACTTCACACTTGTCAGACCACCAACTGCTATCACTACTACTGCCTGCTTACTCAATGATCGATCCATCCACCTGGGAGTCATACTTGACTCCTTCAGCCATTCTCAAATCAAGTATACCTATCTATAACTCAAATTGGCCTTTCACCCTCTGTACCATTTGCAATACCACATCCTAAGACCACATTGCTTATTACAGACTCCTTCTGTGGCCCCAGGCAACTCACTCTCCAACATCCTGCGAGAGTGTTCATTCTATCACATAAATTTTATATTACTCTTTTGTTATCTTTCCACAGCACCTCCTTAACAGTTTAGGCTATAACTAAATTCCCCAGCTAGCTAACCTCCCGGTATCGTCCTTCTGCCTTGCACCTCTTGTCTCTTCCCACTTGCGACCTGAAAGTCAACCAGACAGAAGCAGCTGCCATTCGGTACAATATTTTCTGGCACTATGAGCAATCTAGGTACTTTTTCAATGACTAGGCTGCATGACTGAGTGGCCTGTTTTCAGGCGGCAACATGACTAGTTTCATTTATACTTTTAACTGTAAATTTTAAAAGTATTAAATCTGTAAATATGATTTCTCCCTACAAATTAATAATGCTAAAAGGATTATTAGAATTCACCTTCTCAGCTTTTCTTTGCTTGAATGAAGACAAGAAATCTTTTTGTTTTTCTCAAAATCTGACAAAGGAGGCTTTAATTCAAGTTCAATATCATTTCTTAGAGATTCAGAGCTAGAAACAAAAGAAAATTTTACCACATATAAAGAAGAAAGTTATCAGGCAATATTAACCTATAAACACCAATACACAAATCATAAGATACTCTCCCAACTCCCTTGTTAATTCAATGAAGTAATGAATATCAAAGCAATTTGCCTTACAAATTTCATAGAGCATGTTTTATTTCAACATCTCAAATAATTCATCATAATCATCTTAAAAATTCAATGGAGGATCAAAATTTAAAATATGCTAATAAAATAACATGCAGGATTAAAACATTTTGTCCCTGTTGATTATGATTATCTAAAATTATGACCATATCTCCCCTGGAGAAGTAAAGGTACATTATGAGATAAAAAGCAGAATTAGAAGGCCACTATATACCCTTTTTATCAACCAAAGGGCAGATTCCTTCCATTTAAAAATCTGTCATTTAAAGAGACGTTTTCTGGTTCTATCATTTTTCTTCTTTTGAAAAATAGATTTTAGTTGTATAAAAGGCACAAGTAGCAACAGAGTGAGTGAATGAGTTAATGAGTAAGAGAGAGAGAGAAAGAGAGAGAGCTTCCATCTACTGGTTCACTCCCCAAATGGCTGCAATAGCCTGGATTGTACCAGGCTGAGGCATGGATCCCAGAAGTCCATCTCCTGTGAAGTACCAGGGGCCCAAATACTTGAACTATCTTCTGCTGATTTCCCAGGCACAACTGCTGGGATTCAAATAAACATTCATATGGAATAGCACCATCCAGGCAGCAGCTTAACCTGAATCCAATTTGTCTAAGATTTTCCTTGCTTGCTTTGGCAACACTATACTAAAACTTCTTCAAGCATTTTAGTTGATTAAAAAAACATTTACATGAGAAACTTGCAGACAAACATTTTTCCTTTATCTCAAAGAATATGGCTTGGTTTCAAACTTTACTTGAAATGGTACCATTTTAGTAAAAGACAAAGATTCAAGACGAATAAATATTGAAAAACAGTTACAAAGAATACAAAAAAAAATTATAAATCTTCTAAAACCTCATAACCCAGAGAAGGGATCATATTCCAGATATAGTAAATATCTGAGGTTATACTTAAATATAGTTAAGAAGGCTATTGATTTTTTGTACAATTTAAATGAGCTCTTTCTGGTTTAACCACACTTACTAGCTGCCAAGTTGCCAAGCCCCTTCCTTGTTCAAAATAGTAGATGACTACATTCTACAAATTCCAAAAGTGACTGACTCAAAATTCTCACCATACCCAGAGCTCATGACCTTAGCAGTTATGTCCACTCTCTACAGACCTCCTTATAAATCAGTTTAAGCAAAGAAAAAAAAAATCATGAAAACTGAGTTTATTTAAACTATATATTGACAGTTCAATTAGTCTAGTTCAACTGCCTCTCCAATGCAGTTATGAATGCCAGTTCTAACATCTCTGAGAGGGACAAAGACACAAAAAGAGATACACTACATCTCGCCTTGTATGCCAACAAGATTATTCTAAAAGCTACCTAAGGGATGGGTGTTTGGGCTAGTGGTTAAGCCATTCAAGTTCCAAATCGGCTTCCTGGTAATATATACCCTGGGAGCAATGGTGATGGCTCAAGCAGTTGGGTACAACCCACCCAGGGGGACACGTGAATTGAATTGGAATTCTCAGCTGCCTGCTTGGTTCTCAACCTAGTGTCATTGTGGGCCATTTGAAGGAATGAACTAGTGGATGTTTTGGCTGGCTGGCTGTTTTGCTGTCTATCTCTCTTTCTCTATTACAAAAGAAAGTAAAAGTGTGTCCTAAAATTAAAGGAAAAATAAGAAAAGGAAGAGGAGCAGGGAGGGAGGGGAAAGGTAGGAAGCATCATTATGCTCTTAAAACTGGAAAAGGAAAGGAGGATGGTGTGAGAGAAGAAGGAGGGGAATAAAGCATTGTTATCATCTTAGAATTGTATCTAAGATATATGAAATACGTTAAAAAAATCTAAATTCCTTTTAAGAATAGTTTTCAATAATTGGAGTGATAAGTTCATTAGTTCAAGGAAAAAGGCTGAATAATAAGTAACAGGTAAGATTGCCTTTTTCCTATTCAGACTGCAGATATTTTGTCTGAAGAAAGCATTACTTGAAAAAATTTTTTTGACTGCCACAATTATTATTATAATAATTATTCAACTCACACTCTCTGTCAACACGGACAAAGCCCCTCAAGGATGGGGATGTATCACCTTACAATTTGACCTGCTCTGCTTGGTCATCCCTACTAATGATTTATGAAATGTTTTCTTACATCCAGTTGAACCATTCTGGTCAAAGCTCAGAATTCTGAAATATAAAAATGTTGTGTTCCTCTTCTACCAAAACCCCTTGTCTTCCTTTTTTGTTTTTTTTAATCACCTCTAGTACAATCAATTAGTTCTCTGGAATTCTTTAAGTGAGATGCATATAGTCAAAACTGCTATTATGAACAAATACAAAATAACTAACCAGGTAAACAGATCAGTAGAAAAATACCCCGGGGGTTCACTGCAGGCTCTCTTCAGGGACAATCCAGGTTCCTCAGGCCTCCTAGCACTTTCACTCCTAACTGAACATTTGGAAAGGGGACCATTTTAGTAACAAGATGATACTGAACACCCAAACCCTCATTTTTCAAGCAATTGTACCTTTTGTCATTCAACAGATTTTACAAAGCACCATCTTTCAAATGGAGGACAACTTATAAATTTTTACCATGAAGCATTCAGCCACTTAAGTTAAAAAGCAAAATTAAAATACCAGACACTATTTATCTCTGTACGCCCTCTCTCAACCAGATCCTAGTAACTTCATGACAGTTACACTAAAAACACATGACTCTGATTTATCAAGTTCCTATTTATAGATTAATGTCCAGAGACAGAAAATAAACATGAGTTTTCAATGACAGCTGCATTGTCAAAATATGGCATCTGAAAAAAAAAAAAAAAGAAAGAACTACTTTTTTGGCAGCTGCTCATCCTGAGAGTAAAGCTAAGACCACCGGAAGCTGACAAGGCCATGACCAATCGAGGGCTGCTGGACAGGTGAGGAGCAGCTGCTCTGGTTGCACAGGGAATCAAATACGAGGTTGCAAAAAGGACCTTGGTCAACTTGGTAAGCCATTTCCAGGAAGAACGTTGCAACAGCAAGAGCTGGAATGCCACAAAACACACTCACTCATCTATTAAAAAACATTTTTAAAAAGATGAGTGCCTGTTTTAACTTATACATCTGAAATATGAGTATATTTAAGACAATTAAAAGTGCCTTTCAGGCCCAAATTGAAAATATATTGACTTTTATTTAAAATTTTTATTTTTTATTTTATTGATATTTCAAGATTGTACACATTCAATGTTTACAATTTGAGTTGATTTATACATTCAATGTGAAAAAGTCACAACTACCAATTTAATTAACATACCTATTACTTCACAGTTACTATTTTTTCCTTCCTTCCTTCTTTCCTTCCATCCCTTCTTCCTTCCTTCTCTCCTTCCATCCCTCCCTCCTTCCTTCCTCCTGTCCATTCATCCTTCCCTCCCTCCCTCCTACTTTTTTTTCTTTGTGGTGAGACACTTAATATCTATCCCTTTGGGCAAATTTCAAGCACACTGTAACTACAGAATTGTTAATTATAGTCAGCAAACTATACATTAGATGCCCCAAAATTACTTCTCTTACATAGTCAAATCTGCACCCCTTCACCTCCCCATTGACAATCATTTTAATTCTAGAAGATGCTGAACCTTGTATTCACTGTCCAACAATGATTTCCACAGAATTTATTTTTACAAGTTGGAGTCTTCTCTTTTACAAGCAAAGCTAATTAAAGTGTTCAGATGCCAGTGATACACACACTACAAAAGGTAAAGATATTACAAACACGAAGCCAAATGGAAGCACTGGCACCAATGTTCTGTGTCTAAAAATCTAAAAGAATAATCACTCAATTAACTTGAAAAAGTTAGCTAACTTAAAAGCAAGTGTTTTTGCAAAGCAGAAAGTACTGCAAGATCCAAGGCTAGTTACCCAGCGTTTTAGACATTCATACAATGACACATGATTAATTTTGTTTTGCTAAGAAATGATGGCAGCAAGGCTACTAAAAAAAAAAGTCACATAATTTTCCCACTATAGTGGAGAGGGGTGGAAGAACATTTCTACCACAATAGTGAATCTGTTGAGCACGTTTCAAACTTCCAACGGTGTAAACCTTTTTTCCTCAAGTAAAGAACATAAATTTCCCTATTTTCTTGTGATTTTGACTGCCAAAGATTGCATATTCTTTATAGTACATAGAAGATGGCTGAGCGTCAGCAAATACAAGGCCCAAGTGAAAACCTATTAAAAATGTATATCGTTTTCACCGGATTTTAATTAGCTTTCTCAAAGCTTTGCAAATTTATTTTTTACTCACCCGTATTTGAGAAATATGCCTTCCAGTATTTTATCACAATACTCATTTTTTCCATTGTCAATGGTTCATTTAAAGTAATATCAGCTCCATGCCCTGAAATACAACCTAAGAATCTTTGTGTTAAATACTGACCTTATGATTCTTATTTGGCAAAAATAACAAATACTACACTTAGCAGTTACATACCTGAAGAATTTTCAGGAACTATAAAAATAAAGAGCACGTGTGCACTTTTCTTCTTGCCAAATCTGAAGAAGTAAAAAAAAATGTTAAAGTGAGGCAAAACCATTTGAAAAATTGAGATTCAAGAGGTTTGCTTGTTAAATACAAAATACAAGGATTTTCTTTATTTTGTTTGAATTTAAACTGATAGCATTGACATGGAAATGTAGTGACTGCAGTATCTCCAATCATTGAAAGAAAAGACGACTTCTATTTATTAAAAGAAAAGGAACATACACGTTACTTGAAAAAAATTTTTATCTGATCACATTTATAAGATATTTGGGAGAAAATAAGAGATATTTTAAACTTCACTATATGGACAAAATCAGCAAAATACAGCACATGGGAAATTCTACATAAGACAATTTCTTTCTAAAACACATGCAAATTGAAAGCAAGCCAAAAACAGAGGGAAGGCAAAGCCGAATCCTGATATGTATAAACTTAGGTGGTTTAAAGTAAGATAGGGAAAATTTGCTGTTTAGATAATCAATTACACTAAGGAACTCTTACTAGTTTTCAAGAATAATACTGGCACTATGATTAAGAGTTGTTATCTTAGAGAGACCCCTATTAAAGAAGAAACATGAAATGAAATGCCACCTTAGATTTGCTTTAAGATAACCCACAGTGGGCAGACAGGGAGGGTAGGTGGCAGAGCTGGAAAGAGAACAGAAATGCAGCAAGACTGGCCAGATGTTGATGACTGTTGAAGCTGAAAAAATGGAGCATGAAAGTCCATTACATTTTTCTCTACCATCATATGTTTGGGACTTTTCGAATGAAAACTTGACAGCTATGGTACTGCAGCTAAGCTGCTTAGGGATACAGGCAGCTAACACAGTGGCACAGTAAGATAAGCTTCCACCTAAGGCACCAGCATCCCATATGGGCACCAGCTTGAGCCCCAGCTACTCCACTTCCAACCTAGCTCCCTATTTATGGCCTAGGAAAGCAGCACAGAATGGAGCCTTTGGCCACTACACCCATGTTGGAGACCAAGAAGAAGCTCCTAGCTCCTGGCTTTGGCTCAGCTCAGCTCCAACTGTTGTGGCCATTTGAGGAGAGAACAGAAAGATTTTTCTTTGTCTCTCCTTCACTCTGAAACTCTTTCTTTTAAATAAAAAAAGAAAATTTTAAAGATTAGTGAAATAGGGTAAGTCAGAATATTTGATAAGTTGATAAATACTGCATTTTACTACTAATCAAAAGAAAACAAATTTCCAAAGACATTAGTGGGAACTGGACTTTAAAGAGAATAGTTCAAATTTCTTAAAAATAAATTATTCTTAGATACTTACAATTGTCTATCAATAGTAGCATATACAGTTAGATATGGGTAGGATTCTTTAAAACAAGAACCAGAAGAGTATCTATGTTGTGTTGTTAGTTTATCTGATTCACACATTTGAAATAAGTACCTATCATTCTATCTTGAAATAACATACGTGTTTCTCTGAGTCGCACATGTTGAGAATGTGGCTGTGCTAGGACTGGAAGGTATCCTGGTGAATAACCTGACAAGGTTTTGTGCTTATGGGGAGGACTGACACGAAATAAATCACTGTAGATCATTAAATAATGCCAAATGTGTCAAGACACAAGGGCACTTGGGTGCACACACCTGGGCAATGACCTGCACCACCACCTCAGGGGACAGGTTCCCTTGCAGACAGGCTCCTGTGGCTAGCAGTCAGTCAGAGGAAAGCTAGGGGAGCGGCATATGTGTAGGCTCTGAGGTGAGTAAAAGGGTAAAGAAATCCCTGGCAGTCCTAGCCCAGGGTGCAGGAGACAGGCAGGCATGCGATGGGGAGGGCTGGGATCTCGTCACAGGAGGCCAAAATAAAGACGTGGTAGTTCATAAAATGGGTGCCAATTTGAATGCCATCTGCTCTGCTTCCAATTCAACATGATGCCAATATACCTCGGAAAGCAGTGGAAGATGGCCTCCAGGACTGGCACCGTAACACCCATGCGGATAATTATTTTGGGATTACCATATTATCTCCAAAGTGTCTCTTCTAAGCCTAGAAAGACCTGTCCTAATTCTGATAAGCTCTCATGTATTTCAATCTTACCTGCAAGTCCATTTCTCTATCAAATCTTTTTACAGAAAGACAACCTTGTTTGAATTCAACCTATGGGGCTCAACATCCCATGGATCCAAGCCAAGAAAAACCTAAATATCCTGCCCCTGGCATCAGTTCTCTGGAGCTTGAGCATGTTAGGAAAAAAAGCAGGGCTTCTACAAACTAAGATAGAAAACTAGAGTACTAGAGGTGGCAGTGTCTGGACTCAATGGATGCAAGTAGCCTTGGGACGCCAAGGGACACCTCTAGTCCACAACTGGCATGTCATGGGGCTAAGGATTCACTTGCTATAGAATCTTCAACCATAAAATTGATGAATTCTGAAAAGACATACCATCCTAATGGTTTATTATTTAAAAGGCTTACTTACAGGAATAATGCAAGCATTATAACCCAAATAAATTTCTACAACCAATTAACTTTCACATTCTCACTTGTATCTATTATTTTTCAAGTTAAAATCATAATTTCTCTGATAGTAAGCCAAAGTGGCAATAAAAGCAACCAGCATATAGATTTTTCCTTTGAAGATATTCTCTTCATCTTAAAAAGCAGAATAGAAACACATCTTCTGAGGATTTTTACAGAACTTGTTTTTGTTGTTGCTTGTTTTGTGAAGCCTACAGGTACAGAATCCAGGTTTTGCAAGTTTACCTAATTAACTTGACAGCTTCGACCTCCTCAGCAGTTAGGAAAGAAGCCATCTTGAGGAAAACCATGTTGAACGTGCACTCATTCAAGAGTGCAGCTGCCTTCTTCAAGTCACTGATGGTGATGGTGACTTCGGAGGCGCTGGAAAAGAACTGCTGCACGCTGTCTGCCAGGCAGCCCACGGTGAGGTCCCCGACTAATAACAAGTCTATTTTTACCTGAAAGAGAAGGGAGAGAGCCAGCACACCATGCAATTACTCACCAGGCATAGAGAAAATGTCACATAGCAGAGGGTAAGAGAAAGGTCCACAACACAGCGGCTTCTGGCCGGGTGAAGGCAAACACCTCAAGGACAGGGCTGGGAACTTCATGCCCTGAGCACCCCAGGGATGAATGGATTTAACGCTATTTTCCTGAAGTTTTGCCTGGTTTTCCTACAGATCTCTGTCTTTTCCAGTAAATGAGATTCTTGGGAGTAGTTTCTTAATCACCTGTCCCACAGGAAAATCCGTGCTGTGGAAACCAAACTCGCATCTCTCCCATACAATGTACTATGATGAAATACACATTCCTAAGGACAAAGAAAAATGCAAATTCTTAAATCTTAAAGAAACAAAGTCCTTCAAATAGAATCCACATGCTATTTAAATCCCCGTATTAGGAATTCAAATGACTATTTCCATTAGAGGGTATTTTCAAGTAAACCCAACTGGGGGAAAAAACAGACTTCCTATGCCCACCTTGGATTTGTTCTTTGTTTTTACAGCTAACGGCATAAAATTCCTTGAAAATCACCAACAGGAATACTTGAAATAACTGGAACACAACTGGAACTACTCTGCGATAAACAGATCCACATAAGAAAACATCGGGGAGCTAACTAAAAAGTGAAGTCAAAAGAAGTGGGTGCAGGAGGTGACAACACTTGCAGAAACAGAAAAGCAGCTTTCAGGCTAGATGCTGCTACAGTTTAAGCCAGCATGGGACTTTGGCTTAGTTTCCCAAGGGGAACAGGAAAGAGCAAGTGAGATACAAGAAAGCCAGGCAAGAGTTCAGGCTAAGCAGAGCATTCCCACTTCTATGGGCTCACATTCTAATTCTCTTCCCTCTTCTTTTTAATAAGCAGCTCTCAAACCTCCACTCGCCGCCTTCCCTAGAAGCAACCACTGTCCATAGATTGTCATCTGTCCTTCCAACTTTTATGCCAAACATATAACACAAACACACACACACGTATGTTTATCTATAAAATCTGTTTTTAAATAAGATATTACATTTGTTAAAAGTGAGTTGTTTTCACTTAAAAACTACAGTTTGACAATATCTTTAAAACATTTTCTAATTTTTCCAGTTATTGTAGATTTATTTTCTTCAACATGTTTCCTATCATACTGCAGAAACCCAGGCTTGATGTGAGGTTCTATAATATTAATACTTTCTCCATTTCGCCTTTTTAAAGATTTGTTTTTTTGAAAGTCAAGAGTTATGGAAAGAGAGGAAAGAAACGAGAGAGCTCTCTGATTACTCCCTGGTGAGCCACAATGGCTGAGGCTGGACCAGGCCCAAGCCAGGAGCCAGCCCCATCCTCGCTTCTAGAGATAATAATGGATCGAGCCCTTCTCCTAAAGTTGGATTGTGATGTTATTACAATACTGTGATATTATCTGACATTTATTACTAGATCTTAAACAAATAAATATGTAGATCTTAAAGGCTTTGCTTTCATCTTTCAGCTAAAATATTGCCAAGCTGATAAGAAATTTATATCCTCAATGGTATATTTCAGTACCCATTCCCATAACCCTTACTAAGATTGGTTGTTCTCAATCTTAAAAAAAAAATTACCAGTACTGAGTAAAAATAAACAAAAACAATCCAAATTTTGCTTCTAATTGGCATACTTTCAAATTAATGGTGAGGTTGAATACATTATAATTCTATTTACTGCATATTCTACTTATTCTACATGCCCATTTGTCTATTCTTTGTGTGTGGTTTTTTTCTTACATCTCTATACAAACTTATATACTTTGGATCTAAATCATTTGTTTTTCTAATCTGTCACTTGGCCTTTGATAAAAGGTAACCTGACACTCACAAACACTTAATATTTAGTAACAAGGTTGTGTGCTGCAATACACTGGGTTAACACACTCTGCCTATGGTGCTGGCATTCCGTATAAATTCTGGTTTTGGCCTTGACCACTCCAGCTTTCACTTAGCTTCCTGCTCATGTACTCGGGACAGCAATGGAGGATGGCCCCATATATGGGAGACCTGATCGAGTTTCAGGCTCCTGACTTCAGCCTGGTCCAGTTCTGACCATTGTGGCCATTTAGGGAATGAGCCATAGATAGAAAATCTCTGTCTCTCGCTGTCAGTAATTCTGTCTTTCAAATACACAAATAAATCTTAAAAATAAATTTAATATTTCCTTTATGGCATCACAGTCATCTCCATTATTGTTAAATGTTCCTTAATAGGGGTATACTGTGATTTTTACCATCTGAAATTGATTTGGTAATTAACCTGAGGTGGGTATGTGATGTGATATTGCTCAAGTGTAGAAATAATTGTACCAAAGGCATTATGAACAGGCTAACTGCCTTTTGGTGCTTTCAAGTGCCACCACAGTGTGCACATGTGTGTGTCTTTTTAGATGTCATTATAACCCACTGGCTATGTGTTTACTTCTGTGCAAAAACACAAGATTTAATTACTAGCTCTTTAGATGCATCACACGTTTTGATATTTGTCACAGTATATGATATTTGGCACTTCAAACAGTGCATGGAAAAAGAAACTAAGGGATTAAATACACTATATTAGCTTTATTCTTCAACATAAACTCTATTAATGTCCACACTTTGCAATACCAGTTACTCAGTCCATCCCTAAAGAACTGAGGACACTAGGAATTTAACCAAGTCAATGAAGCTACATTTCCATGACTGAGGGTGTAATTACATTCCTGAACTTACATATGAATCCAAGACTATATAGCTGAATAAGCCATCGGTTTCCCCTGCAGTCGGGGAAGTAATTCCCTTGAATGGGAGAGCTGGCTGCAAGATTGCTGGGAGTGCATAGGACAGCAAACCCAGCGGCTGGGGAGCAGACTTGGGCTTAGCACGTTGTTTAAAATGAAGAGAGATTCTTTCAAAGCCGATCAATTTGGTGTACTTCTCTGCAGAGCAGACAGTGGTCTTCCCTTTCCTCCTCCTTGCCAGTCAATCTCACAGGGAGCCCTGATCCCACATAGGGTTCGCTTTCTGTAGAAAGCAGCCCTGGGGTTAAAAGCACGGGTGCCCCTGCTATAGGAAGAACCCACAGTCCCATGGATAGAGACTGCTTGGCCCAGTTGTTCTACTTCCAGCTAATTCAAAACGAGGTAAGCACCCTCTGTCTTTGCCTTCACACTGAGCCTAGACTATCAATAGCATTGTGTTGACTCTGCATTTCTTCCCCTCCTGTATGGCAAGCTGCAGTTTTTCCTACTTTTATTTCAGTGGCAATTGGATTACATCTGTTCTCTAAATTACCGGCTGCCCTTGATTTTACTGTTTTTAATCTTCAGAGAGAAACTTTTAAATTCAAACCAAGCCTTACATTTGGTACTATGTCCTGTATATTGCTGTTAAATCTCCTCATCCTTTAAGAATACTACTCCATTGGGCCCGGCGCAGTAGCGCAAGTGGTTAAGGTCCTCGCCTTGCACGCCCCAGGATCCCATGGGGGCACCGGTTCTATCCTGGCAGCCCCGCTTCCCTTCCAGCTCCCTGCCTGTGGCCCGGGAAAGCAGTCGAGGACGGCCCAAAGCTTTGGGAACCTGCACCCGCGTGGGAGACCCGGAAGAGGCTCCTGGCTTCGGATTGGCATAGTATCGGCTGTTGCTCTCACTTGGGGAGTGAATCATCGGACGGAAGATCTTCCTCTCTGTCTCTCCTCTCTGTATATCTGCCTTTCCAATAAAAAAATAATAATAAAAAATAAATCTTTTTTTTAAAAAAAGAATACTACTCCATCACCTGATTCTTCTATAATATTAACTTCCTAAAGGTATTGTGCCATTTAACAAGCATCTGCTGCTGAGGCATTTGAAGTAGACAGGGAGGTTGAGCTGTGTGCTTGATCCAGCAGCATGAGCCCAACTCATGGCCTTTTGCAGCCTGATGTTTGCCTTCTTGAGTTTACTGCCTCCTTCTCTCAGACAGCATGATACTTTCAAATGAACATTGCAATACAGAAGAGCATATTGGGACCTTCTGGTGTCACTTTGTTTCATAAACATCCCTCTCTTCCAGCAACACTGTAAGAACAACAGGGAAATTTAGGCCATTGTGCTGCTGTGTGTGAAGACTGTGCATCTCCACCAGAGTACCTATTTTTCTCTGCCACTGTATTATCTTGTTCAAAGCTAGGCACTGGGGCACTTGTTAAATAGTCCAGGGCTCAGCGCAGCAGCCTAGCAGTTAAAGTCCTTGCCTTGAACACACCAGGATCCCATATGGGCGCCGGTTCTAATCCTGGCAGCCCTACTTCCCATCCAGTTCCCTGCTTGTGGCCTGGGAAAGCAGTCGAGGATGGCCCAGAGCCATGGGACCCTGCTCCCATGCGGGAGACCTGGAAGAAGCTCTGTGCTCTTAGCTTTGATCAGCATAGCACCAGTTGTTGAGGCCGCCTGGGGAGTGAATCAACCGACAGAAGATTTTCCTCTCTGTATATCTGCCTTTCCAATAAAAATTTTAAAAGTAAAACTTAAAAAAGGAGTCTGAACAGAGTGATTATAGTTCAGTTTTTAAATTAACCTAGTTAACAGAAGCAACTTACAGATGTCCACAAAGAATCTACCTAACAGAGAGAATGAGCATATAACATATCTTCCAAAGAGATACTTCTAAGGACAAAAAACATTGCTATTAATAATCATACTAATATAATACCTATAAGTCAATGTATATCCTGGGCTGTGAATAATCTGTAAAACTTTCGATTAGAAGGGTTTCTTTAAAACATTCCATCACTTTATATATCTGTTTAGGCATGCTTACTTGGTATTTATTTTACACATGGATATTTAGTAAGTGGCATGACAGGGCATACCCAGTACTGGGCGAGGACTTAAACTCCCTGACTTCGGAAAGCATGGCTTTCAAGCTTTGGGGTTCACAAGAAGTCTATGGGCTTCGACCTATCAAAGCCATTATTTATCCTTTGCTAACAGTCTATCACAGTGGGAAGACAGCAGACAGAGCAGTGTCACTTCACCCCTTTATTAGTGGCTTTGAGGAAGATACTTACACTGAGACTGTTAGAAGCAGCAATATTTACACAAAGCCCTAAAGGTGGGTTACGGCCATGTTTTCTCAAGCAATACCAAATCTGAGTGTGCACGTGCACACACACACACACACACACACACAAATATAAAAACATTAGATCCATCAGACAGAAAAAAAGGGTAGGAGAGGAGAAAAATGCCAACATTGGGAAATGAGAACAGTTCTAACGTGAACTGCTCCCCTGCTCCCCTGCACCGCTTCAGACAGAGTTCACAAGTTCAGTTTCCCTCCCACCAAGCAAAAAGTAAGCTTGTGAACAATCGTCAACGGCTGATCGGCCTTTTCCCGCCCTCGCCCTCGGAGGAGGCCAACGGTCTCCTCAGGATCCCCCTGTCTTGTGGAGAGAAATCAAGAGCTACCTGTAACAGGCCAGGTTTGGGGCAGCAGAGAGAAATCTCTTGGAAATTTCTGAGGTGGAAAAGAGGTCCAGAAAGGGATAGGAGAAGAACCAGCAGCACGCATGGGGATTGGAAGTTTTTCCACTGTGCTTTCCGCCATGGCAGAGAGAGAGAGCACAAAAAAATCAGGTGGTTCTGGGAAGAGCTGATGTGCTCCTGGCCACAGGCTTCTTTCCCTGCCCTATAAATTCAGAGCCACTGCACACGCAGAATGTTAATAAGCGCATGAGAACTCTGCTCCAGTACACTGTCCCAAGGTAACAGTTACTCAGTTAAAAATGTCTTGCAATGTAGTAAGAACCTGAGGGATGAGAATTACTTTGCTGCTCATCAAAATAAGTCCCAGTGCATGCTACATCGGAGAGCTCCTTTAGGGCAGGGAGATCCTGAGCCATGAGCACAGCTGGGAGGACACCAGGCTTCCTGTAGCAGAAACCCTTTTTCCAATTGGACTGCTTTCCACTTTTTGTTTTTCTTTTAGCAAAAGCAGTATATGTTTATTGGGAAACTCTGGGAAATTTTAAAAGCCTAAGTGAAAATAAAAAACCCTTGTCATTTTACCACTCGGGGACAAGGACTGCTAATACTCTGAGATATCGTCTTTAAGTGTGGGCAGGTTTTAATAATGTGACATCATCATGACCAACATTCCTTATCCATTGTGTTTGATTTTCATGATCCCAAACACAACGAGGCACTCTAAAACATTGGATTTCCATTTGCAATCTATGGCAGGCTAAATCCTTAATTAGTAACAGCAGGTGCTCAAGTGCTTAAAGCCAATCATCCCTACATTTTAGTGGGTTGTTATTTCTGTCACTCTTATCACGCTGAGCAGGGCCTCTAACAATCACAGACAGCTGCAAGTGCCGCTGCCCGCTGTCCGCACTGGGCAGTTGTGGGCCTCCAGGTTTCTCGGGAGCCCAAGGATTTAAACAGCTCTATTGGGAGAAATGCAGCAAGGCTGCTCTCCCAGGAAAGGCATACAGAAAGGTTTGGGAGGGGCTTCAGGCTCTCAAGGAGAGGTAAACCACAATGAGCCTCGTAGTACCAGATAAGCAGTTCTTATTCAGAATTCCATATTGTGCAGTTTTGCCTACTCCTGCACCATAGCATGTCTCTGTAAAGTTTAAATAGGCTCTGGCAACTTGAGAAAATTAAGGAAACCTGCTACACAGGTCCACTTGAAGGTACTAAGAAATCCATTTCAGAAGACTTGCTCTTGATTTGAAATAGGTAGAGCCAGGAAAGAGGAAACAGAACTGCACAGGGCAGAAGAGGTTTCCTCTTGGCCTTAGCCATTAAGAAACCTTGACTTGCTGGGTTGGGCCAGGGTAGGACAGAGTCCCAAAGCCAAGCAGTGCTGGCTAAGCAGCTGAATGGGGCACTTTGAGAAGACAGCAGAGGGCTGGTGCGTTTGGGCAGCACGGGGGTTGAGGGAAGGTATGTGTGAAAGCGCCCTTTCCGAACAGACCGGCGTGATTGGCTACACGTTAGAGAAATGGCGCATAAATTCAAACTCAAATTCAAACCAAAAGGCGGGGGGGGGGGGCAACCCGAAGCACATGTCAGTCCACGCAGCGAGACGGATGCATTGCATTTTAAATCTATATAAGAACGAATGGTTCACGTTTTGCCCAGCCGAAATGGCGGCTCCATGTTTCCCAAGCGTCTTTATATATGTATATAGTAAAAAGATAACGGGTGACCCGGCCAAGAAGGGCGAAGACGATTTCCTTAGTTAAAAAAAAAAACCAGCGAGCCCGCCTTTTTTGCTTTGTCGCTTTCCCCCCAAGATAATTATGCCGAGTCCTCCAACCTTAAGGCCCTGGAGGGCCAACCAAGAGGGAAGGGACCTCCGGGCAGCCGGGTGGTGTCCGTGGCCCCGGAGGAGCTCGGGGCACCTGGGGAGGGCAGCATTACCCCAGCCTGGCAGCCGGCCTCTCGGGGGGCCCTTCAATGAGAGCTAGCTGAGCCCAGCCTCTGGAGGTAGAGAGGCCTACAAGTTAGCGCTGGCCCGCGGGGTTATAAACGCAGCTGCCTCCCCTTCTTCCCCCTTGCGCCTCTTACCTGCTCTGAAATCTGGCCGAGCTCCGGGCTGGTAATTGAGGCCGCCATGGTGCGCTGCGCACGTGCCGGGTGCTGGGGCAGCCTCGCCGGGAGGAGCTCCACAGCCCGTGGCCGCGTTCTCCGAGCGCGCGCCCTGGGCGATGATGGCTGCTGGCTGCAGCTGGGGGAGTGCACGCCCCTTAAAGTGGCCTTGCCTCTGTCTCCGGAACTGGCGCTGAGGGCAGCCACTGGACTCTGAGCGGAGGGTCTCCGCTAAGCTGGTCTGGCCTCTGTCCGAGAGGCCTTTTCCCAGTGTGCCTTCCTAATGTGTGTTCCCATGGCCTTTTGGGAGGCCCCGCCATTTGTACCCTGCCCACCCCAAGGGGGTACACCGCTAGGACCCGAACTGTCATTGCTGCCCTGGAGAAGCCGGAAGCATGGCCTTGTCTAAGCCTGTTTTTAATTTTTTTTTTTCCCTTAGACTTAATTTGGGTCAGTCTTTTAAAGATGAAGAGTTAGCACACAGATTTTGTGGGGTTTGTTTTGCTTTTGTTTTGTTTCCTCCTTTCCTACACAAACATGTGGAAGATGGGGCGAGGGAGAATTTTTCAGGGCTTTCTATCTAATCCAGGTTTGTTCCGTAGTTTTAAAGATGGCCCCATTGCCTCAACTGAGACTGTACGAAAATAGGAAAGTCTTCTGGTGGCTGTTGCCATGGACCCTCTGGTGAACCCTCACAAGACTTTTTATCGAGCTCTGTTGTATCGGGACCTATGGGAGATCTTGTCCCATCCGAAATGGCTGAGATTTTTCCATTGCGTGATGGCCGACACTTGATCTCACTTGAATCCTGGCTACTTAAGTGTTCTGGGGAGCCAGGGAAGCAGGTGGGTCGTATCTGGGCAAGCCTGCTGATGTGGGAGCAGCTGGTGCTGCTTGGGTGCCTGATTTAGCTCTTGAGAGCATGCAAAACCCTTGCCGTTGTTTCTGCTTTTGATGTCTTCTACTGAGACCATGCTGTGTTACCTTTGTGAGTAAATGCACACATTTTAATAGACAAGAATTTTGCTTTCTTGTGTGTGCGACTAATTGGGAACTGAACATTTATAAAAATAGCTGTGGAGCAGTTGCTTTGCTTGCCATTATAAGGCAATGGTGAAGTCATTCCTAAACGTGGGGTGGGCGTGTGAATTAAAGCAGCTTTGATTCCCACCCCCAGCTTTCCCTGAATGGTAACCAGGTTTCCATCACTCCAGAAATCTAGACTGCTCTGACAATGATAATCACAGGGACATTGTTGAAACTCGTACAGGTTCATTGCTCCTGAATAAAAAACAAACAAGAAAAAAAAAAAAAAACCCAAGATCATGTGAGAGGAAGTCATATCTCCTGCATAGGTGGGAGAAAAAAGAAAGAAAGATAACTTCTTCTCTATTTGGATTATGAGTTCAAGTTTTATGAGAATTTCACTTTCAATCTTCTACAAATCTTTTTTTAACTCGATAAATGAACAGACAACTATTGTGAGACGTTGGGTACCTTTCTCCCTGAGGAGTGGGGTGGAATTTTGTCCCCCAAAGGACATTTGACAGTTTTTGAAAGCATTTTTGTTGTCACAGCTGGGGAGTGCACTGATTTCCAGCAGAGTTAAAGGACGTTCCTAAATACGTTATAATGTGCCATAAAGGCAGGCCTGTCTGTCCTAAACTGCATTAGTCTGAGACTGAGAAACTACAATAAACCTGGTGGACTACAGGATAAGGTAAAAAAAAAAACTCATAATACCTTTGTCATCTTTAGCTCTCTTGAATCCTATTTGTTACCAGAGACAAATGGGCAGCTGAGTTACTCTGGTTCCCAGAATGTAAGTATGCTTCTTATACTGTTGATGGAAAACTGAATAGTGTGAAATGTAAATTATAACACTAATTCTAGATAAATATTTTGAAAAAAGGTGCAGTCATAATTCTGTTAGAGTTTTCCAATCGTTTAAAATTATTAACATTCATAGCATATGCCCTGCATTATTCCCCTTACATTAAATAAGAATTACTTTTCAGTTTGTGTATGCCCTGAATAATGTTGCAAGCAATAAAACATGCTTCATTCAAATGAACTTTTATTGAGAACCTAAGCCTTAAATGTTTGAAAATTTGCCATCTAGCTACTTTTTCCCCCTTAGGAACCATTGGTATATGTCAAATCCAATGTTGCTGACTTGGCTTGGTCTCAGTAACTCAGAGCTTAGAACTCAGGGAACTTGAGAGATTACCTAATTGTTCAACCCTTTCAAAAATGCTGAGACAAAAAAAGAATGCTCTCATAAGATCCTAACCATGAAAGCTGAAAGTAAAAAATTAACTATTTCAATCTTTTTACTAAGCTTTGTATACTTATACATGTAAAGCACAAAACTCACTTCTTAAGTATAGTAAACATTTTACTTGGACTATCTTTGGAAGAATAAATCTAAGAACCATAACTTGACTAACCATTATGTCTCATAAAATTTCCAACAAGGATATTTTCATGAGATTAAGACTCTTGCTTCTACTTTTATCACCTCAATCCTTTCAAGAAATTCATCAGATTAACCAGAATGATCTTTTAAAATATATTTTTTTCCTAAAACCCTCCACTTAAAGTCCCAGTGTTTTTCAGTGTTGAAAGGCTCTGTAATGTAACTTAGCCTCTCTAGCCTCACCTCCCTCCGTGCATGACCTCTGCTCATGACCGCAAGTCACTGTGAATTCTTTTTCCTTTGCAGAATCCTAGGTAAAATGTAAAGCTAAAGAACTCTGCCTTTCTTCTTCCTTATCCCTGGATGTCTTGTTCCCAGCCCAACACCGTCACTTCCCCCGGTTTTCCCATTCCACTTGGGTGTCTGCTACAATGTCACCTTCTTGGTGACACTATAGAATCTAGCCCCTTACTCTGTTTTTCTTGGTATGATTTATCTAATGTTATATGAGGGTAATTCAAAAAGCTTATAGATAGTAGTACAAGTTTACTTTAGTGCAAAATGATTCTGAAATTTATATGTAATTTATCATAGGCATTGCTAATCACTTTTTAAAAAAAGATTTATTTATTTATTGGAAAGTCAGATATCAGAGAGGAGGAGAGACAGAGAGGAAGATCTTCCATCGGTGATTCACTCCCTTGTGTGATTCACTCCCCAAGTGAGTGCAACGGCTGATGCTATGCCGATCTGAAGCCAGGATCCAGGAACTTCTTCCGGGTTTCCCACGCGGGTGCAGGGTCCCAAGGCTTTGGGCCGTCCTCCACTGCTTTCCCGGGCCACAAGCAGGGAGATGGAAGGGAAGCTGGGCCGCTGGAATAGAACCGGCGCCCATATGGGATCCCGGGGCGTTCAAGGCGAGGACTTTAGCCTCTAGGCCATGCCGCCGAGCCCGCTAATCACTTTTTTAAAGATCCCTCATATAACATTATTTTTTACTTATTTTCCCCTGCTCTCTAGAACACAGAATTTGTCCTGTCCTACCTTCATCTTTTATTGGCCTGGGAAAGTAGGGGTTTGCTTTATGAGGCCATGTATTCAGGTCTTTATAGCTCTGCCCTCTATTTTCTTTTTTTTTTTAATTTATTTTAATTTTTTTTTTATTGGAAAGGCGGATATACAGAAAGGAGAGACAGAGAGGAAGATCTTCCGTCCGATGATTCACTCCCCAAGTGAGCGCAACGGCCGATCCGAAGCCAGGAGCCTCTTCCGGGTCTCCCACGCGGGTGCAGGGTCCCAAAGCTTTGGGTGGTCCTGGACTGCTTTCCCAGGCCACAGGCAGGGAGCTGGAAGGGAAGCGGGGCTGCCAGGATAGAACCGGCGCCCAAATGGGATCCCGGGGCGTGCAAGGCGAGGACCTTAACCACTTGCGCTACTGCGCCGGGCCCTGCCCTCTATTTTCTAATGCCAGCTTGTATGGTGGAAAGAAAAAGATATGGGGCAAACAAAAAATTATTTTATGCACGAAGTTATAAACTCGGCATCTCTAGTGTAAATGTGCAGAGCTGGTATAAGTTATGTTGGTGGTGACATAACGAGAGGAAAGGTCAGCTTTAACCCTCTTCTTTCCTTATTTAAAAATGTTCAAGGGGATCCTCTGCTTACATTCCCATTTCTTAGTGTGTCGTTGGGGCACGCATCATCTTATCCAATCTGGCTTTCTATACTTGGCTTTTAATCAAATCAACTTGATCAGTTTCTATCCCCTAATAATGTCCTGGGACTGCCTCCCCTCCCCAGTCAATAGTCTCCAGGGTAGGACACACACAGCCAGATAAAGTAACTTCTTTGGAAATGTAGTCTGATGGTATGAATTGCCTGGAACCCAGAGAAGCCCTTAAGGACCTCTGGGAGCATACTTTATTGGAGTGGGAACTGCTGCAAGTATTTTCTCTGTCCCTCCCTATTTGCTAATTCATCTATGGGTTTTCTTCATTTCTGACTTCCAACCAAAACCTTTTGTGGTTCAAATAAACTCTGACCTCCTGTGATTGTCTCCTTTTTGCCTCTTGGTCAGTTCTAAGCTGCAGGCGCAGTTCTGACCACTGCACCACCGGAAGTTCAGCAGAATCACTCCTAAAACGGTTTGTCTTTGCTTTGGTTTCTCCCACACAGGTTGACTCACACTTTTCTTTTGTGGTTAGTCTGGGCAGACAACAGGACAATTTCCAAAGTATTCCAAGTTCCATCTGCAGTCTTTGTGCACTCATTCCACTCTCAAAGTCGTCTGTGAAAATGCTAATCCTCAGGATGATAGGAACAAGAGATGAGCCCTTTAAGAGGGAATTAAGCCAAGAGGGGGAGGACCCATCAGGAGTGCACTCAATGCCTCCCGGGTCCCTTCTGCTGCATGAGGACACCATGAAAAGAGGCTGTCTGTGACCCAGGAAGTCAGCCATACCCATATACTGAATCCAATAATATATTGATGTTCAACTGTTCAGCCTCTAGACTGTGAGAAATAAAATCTGTTGTTTATTCCAATTCTGTGACAGTGTTTTCATAGCAGCTGGAACAGTTTAAGACACCATCTCATGTCTTCCTCATC